GCTGTAGGTATAATCAGAGGCAGTGATGGAGACCGACTGTCAATGTGGGAACTTTGACCATTGGATCTGGCCTCGTTCTGAGGAGGAAAGTGCCTGTTTGTTCGTGCGGTTTCATTTTCATTCAGAGTCGGCAGAGCCTCCTGGAACCAGAGGTTGTGCGGATACACAGGCAGGGAAACATTGGCGTACATTCGACAGGCAGCTAAATAGGCCTGATGCAGGGGGTATAGGTAAGAATGGGGCGCCCACATGGGACAGCTGTATGCCTGAAAGACCAAAAGAAAAAAGTGTATTGAATATTCATGTACATGTATTAGCACACAGGTTGTTTACCACTTCAAAACAGTTAATGACAAATGAAAGTAGTTTGCTTCACAGTGCCCTCAATTTCAAATAATTTCTGGGGTTTCAGGATCATGTTCCCATTTTTTGTGTTTGCACCAAATACAGCAGGAACAGGCAACAGTTATCACTAACAAAAACTTGATCACACAGTTCCTGCAATTAATTTAAAAATAGAATGCTGTAAGCCATGTTTTAGTTATGTATTTTAAGATATAAATTTCCAACTCACTTCAAAAAATATCACAATTATTAATGCACTCTAATAGCTCACTTAGCAAAAACCCCCACCACCACCACAATAAAATCATACCATACATGCTCACCTCAAGAATAGACCTGCATTGACACCTGAAATGAGGCCACTGTCCAAGGACAATCCTTAAGGATTAAAGCCTATATTTGTTCACACACCTACTCATTAGCCTGCTCAAAGCCTTTTCATAAGGGGTACCAACTTGATCCCTAGGCAAGATAGTTTCCAGGGTCTGGAAATCCCTGGACTCCAGACCTGTCCAGAGTCACAACATTTTTAGCTGCAGCTTTTTCAACGCCACGGGTGACTTTAACACTCAAGTCACCCACCTCAGGGAATGGCCCCCATCCCTCCTCAGCAGGCAGGGACACAGTTTCACTACTCAGTGCTAGGGCTCACCAGCACAGACTTCGCTGTACATGGACAGCAACTGGTGCAAGAGGGATGATACTAATAGCATAATGCCAAGGTCCACATTTCAGGCCACACAACAGCACGCAAAGCTGCTGGAGGTACAAGGAAAGAAAATATTTAAGAACCAGGCAGGGAGTAAAGGCCAAAACCTGGCATGGTCTTGTCTGTGCCACCCACAGAGAAGAGTCCCAGAAATAAACTACTGAACCAGATTTTGTCACCGAAGTACTACTAAAACTGGGTAATTTGACCAGTAGATGGTGCTGAAGCACCAAAATGACAGACAACCTAAAAAACATATCCCAGATAGGCTTATGAAACACTGTTCAAATTACATTGCAATCACACCTCCTGATGACTTATGGATTTTCTATTAAACAAATTAAAAAAAGACTTAAGTACATAAAGCTATCCAATCTAGTTTTTCTTTGTATGTTGTGCTGAACACTTTCCTCCTTTCAACTCCTCTAATTCTCTTCCCTCCCTATGCAAACATGACAGAAAATCATTACATTTTATAGCCAAAGTCTCATGAAACATGCCTGAGAGCTTAACAGTTTTTCCAAAGTGGTTTGCCTGAGAGAAGAGGTGAGAGAATGTGGAAAAAGGAACACTTATACCATTTGTGTTAGGGCTGGTCAGTTGCTTCTGTGATAACATGTTGCCTCTTTGGACAATCCCCTCCTCTCAAATTGCACTCCATATGCCTATCAACCACTATTTTAATTACTTAAAAGGTCAAAAGTTAAAAGACTGCCCTTAGCCTGCATAGGTAGGCCAGACATGCAAGTAGCTTGTGGGAACCTCCACAGAGAAAGGTCTACAAAGGCTTGACCACTACACAGACATGCTATGAAGCTAGGTGTGTGTGTGTGTGTGTGGGGGGGTTCTCTTTCACTCTGCACTGCTTCCAAAAGGGGCATCACATACAAACATTTTATGGTATTACAAACCTAGAAACATAAGTATGTTTAGAAAGTTACCTTCACACCAAGATTGAAGAAAAATCTAAGAATATTCTTATCTGCAGAAGAAAACAGAAAAATCCATGAAGACCTATAATATCATATTTCATCTAATACAAATATTAATCCCCACAAAGTTCCACATCAGTAAAAAACAAACAAACTGACATTTTAAGCTGCTGCTGCTTGCACATCTTTAACTCTTCTTTTGTCACCATAACAATATCTGCAGCTTACCTGCAATCCAAATTTCACTTTAACCATTTATGAAACTGACCTTCCAGGTTCTGTCAGTAAATGCCTGTCACTATGCAGTAGACACAGAATGTCCTTAAGAAATTTTTTTTTGCAATATACTTAATATGCCAAAGCCCACATTTTTACAGATCAGTAGGGAAATTGTTGAAAAAGCTTCAAACTTGACTGCAAATATTATTTTCATTACTGTATAAAGAAATAGATCTTTGAAGAAAGTCTTATAAATTCACAAAGCCTCAAGTTACAGTGGGATAAACCAGCAAGCATAAAATGATTATATCAGATTTCTAGGTGTAATCACTTTAAAACTGCAATGTTAATGCACAACTAGAAAAGTGACTAGATGACTCTATCACTTCCTTCCCCTTCCACCCCAAAGTAATAGAAATGCAAAAACTAGATCTTTTGAAACGGCTTAAAGCACAAGACAGAACAAGTAAGTTGCCTTTATTTAGGTTTCAAGCAGACCCATGAGAAAAAAAAATGGTGCAAGACAGGTCAGAGAGCTTCTCACCTTTAGGCAAGTCATCCTCAGTATTGCACAGGGAGTAAGAGGGTGCAACAGCTCTTTCTCCCTTTTCACTAAGGGGAAATCCAGGATACAGTGGATCCTGATAAGGATTCAGAGTCTGAGGCAAAGGCATTAAAGGCTGGTTAACTGCTTGTATTGACACAGGAACTCCAGCAACTGTAGCAGATGTTACCTGAGCCTGGGATACAACAGAATCAGGTCCCGTTGGGGGGGCCGGCATCAATGAAGGAGCAGGTATTTGAGTTGGAATACCTAAGTGGGGGAAGAAAGAAAAAAAAAAAGAAAAAAAAAAAAAAAGGAGAACCCTCAAATATACAGCTTTAAACAACAGTTACAGTGGGAAAGCAAGCTTCAAAGGAAAAAAAAGTATTCTGGGAGACAAAGGAGGAAATATTTGAGTCATGAAGTTGAACACAGGAAGATTTGCCTAAATGCAGAGAACTGCGTTCAGAAGGGATAAAGAGTTAAACTTCCCAGAAATAATTAAACCTTGATTATACTTTTTTTAAAAAAATACAAAGGCCGGGGTGGGGGGCGGGGGGGAAAAGAACGAGAGGGAGCTTGCATATACTTCTTTAAACTTCTAGTTCAGACTACTCATTTTTAATCACCTCTGAACCTGAGGCCAGATTGCCTGGGCTACACACCTTCCATCACTGATGCAGTCAACTCAGGTATGTCAAGACAATTACAGCAACTAAAGTACCACGCGAACACGCTATGCTGACTCCAAAGACAGTTCTCATACAGAAAGATAAAAGAGGGATAAGATACAGTGCCTAGCTAAATGAGCAATATTGAATCTAAGCCAATTCCACACATCAGGGGATGAACAGAGCAAGTTTTGCACTGGTTTTGCAAAAAAGTGAGCTGAGGACCAGACTCATTAGATAGCTGGACATTCATCTCCTTCACATTTCATATAATGAGTCAGGTGAGTTATAGGTATGGGCAATTCAAAAAACAAACAAACAATCTACTAGAACTTCCACAAACTGAGCAGTGAGTAGCTATATCCCCTTAGATAGTTTGCCTTTAGGATGTGAAGCTACTTGAAATTACCCCTCCTGGGAGGATTTTCAGTTTAGCAAGATGGTTAAAACCTGCACCAGGGTTAGTGGTTTCTGAAGTGCATTAATGTTTCTTCAAACCTGGCAGTCCATAGGTTGCTGGCTCACTTGGCCAAGCTGGCACAATGGTTGGTATAGAAGGCACTGTTGGAGGCAGATGCACCTCAGAAAAGATTGGTGCGGGAGTCACACTGGGCAAGCAGTCAGTCAGTTTCTGTGAAACAAAAGAATCACAGAGAATTATTCTAAATAAGTCTTGTCTCTGAGCCCTAAGTAGCCCAGCCTACACCAATAAAGGCTCGATGGCTCAGCATTACCCATACTAGCACTATCACAACAGTTAACTAGCAGTGTAACAAACTGTACACATAAGAGTTGAGAGTTAAGAGTTGAGATGTCAGGTGTGAAGAACTGTGCACTGAGCTCTATAGTGCCTGTACCACAAGCACTACATTTAGACTCTGTGAATCTCTACAAGACAAAAGAAAAGCCACCCTCAAACTATTACAATGACATCAAAGCATGCTGAGGGAGGGACAGTAAGAACTTAAGGGAAAGATATGAAATATTCAATCTCAGAATACAGAAGGATACAGCTGCTTTTCTATCATGGTTTGCCATTTTACATTGGACACAACAGATTCTTAACTGTAAAGTGGGGCATCTTGATATTATCACCATAGTAATTGCTACCTAATTAAAAACCTACCAATAATAACACATACTTGACTGTGATGAAGTTCCCCTTTGTCTGAAGTCTCCCAACCAAAAAAAAAATGAAATTAAACAAATATTTCTTACTTGTTCAACAAGAACTGGGGAGTCTTTTTTCACTTGTTCCAAAGGAGAAGCAGCTTTTGGATAACTCTCATCTTGACTGTTCTTCTAAAGCAAAGTTAGAAACAACAGACATGGCTAGTCTAATAACAAAACTTGTTTAAAGACATTCAAGGATACTGAAACATACTACATAAGACATGGGCTAAGCATTAAATCTTCGTTATACTAGTATAATATTTTGCTTGTTGAAAGGGCAGCAGAGATAAGACCCAACCAGAGGCCATGAATCTTAAAGTTCAGAGATCATGGTCTGTTAGCATAGTAGCTATTGGTAAACCTCAAATCTTCTACGATACTAGTGCAATCTGTGCCTAAGTAATTGCAAATCTAGATTCACAAGTGCCCTTGATAGCCTAGATTTGAGAACTCAGATGGCACAGAAAGACCACAAGTATAGGTTAAAAGGGCTGAGGAAGCTGACGGCAATACAAAGCCTCAAATCTTAGAATAACTTCACCAAAGTTGTAAAGCAGCAGCAGCAGTCACAGCTCAAAAGGCAGCTATCGCTCTGCCAATTATGTATTATAGAAGCAATAACATTAAGAAAAAATAAAATGAAATTTTGGTCTTTTCTTTAAGATTACCTCAGATGAATTTGGCTCAAGCTTCTGACTTAAGTGGATGTGTCTGGAATTTGACTCTGTAACACCAAGACATAACCTAGTAAATGAACCATTACACCATTTATGGCTATTACAACTTAAGCCAGTTAAAGTTTGTCTTTCCAAAAATTAAACCTTCAAAATAAAGTTTACCTCACCATATATTACCTCAACATATCCAGCAAATATAAAATTCATTTCTTTCCCAGTAACAAAGGATCCCAAAGCTACCAGTTGTTAGGGCAGCAGCTTAACGCAACTACTCTAATCAGGATTTTTCAAAATTCTGCATGAATTCTTTATTAAGAGTTGTTAACTGCTTTGTGATACCTGGGGGAAGCAAGAAAGTAAGACAGACATCTTTGCTTTAAATGCATATCATTCATCCTACATCTATCCTAGTGAAGGAAAAAAAAACAATTTGTACATCAATTAGAGTGAAAATGCTTCGATTTCCATATGCAAGTCCCAAGAAGTTTAAAGTTTTGTTTACTTTTGACTGCATAAGATCAGTTCAGAATGCTTCAACGTTCCACAGATTTAGAAAGCTTTCCCACTGATATAAGCAGCTTAATATCTTGAGCTCCAGCAAATATCTGGGGGGGCTAGGGGGAGGTGTTTAAAAAGACACAGGCACAAATACACACACAGTCATAGCATAACCTTCATATGATAAAATTCGTACTTTCCCCCACACACAATTTTAAGCTAGGCTCATATCTGACAACCTCTGCTTGTCAGTCCATCACGTTCTGCCCCCAGTCATGTATTTAATAGCAGCTGTGTGTGTATTTTTTAAAAATTAGTCTATGCATTGTCACTGCAACACTTAGACTACACACCATTAGCTAAAACAATGTTGATTACTGGAAATTACTCCCAATTCCCCCAGGACCTACTGGGCTCAAGATATTTTGAGGAAAATAACAGGCTAAAATCTAGGAATGAGCTGTATCAGAAGCAATGCAATAAAGAGCACCACAAAAAACTATAGGAAAATGAATACATGCTATACACGCCAATAAAATCTGTCATGATGCTGTTATCCTTTCCTAGATCAAGGCTCTTAGTATTGCAAATCAAGTTACTTTTCAGAGGTCTCAGGAATGAAAAGATTTGCTCCTCAGACCCCATTACAGCACAGGTGCCATAAAAATACTATGGTAAAAGCAGAGTCATTCCTAAAGTGATAAGGTGAAAAGGATTTAAAAATCACAGCTGCTATGAGGGGACCAAAGAGTTGGAATTTTATTTAGTCAAGGGAAAAAAACAGAAGCAGCTAAGGTCAAATTCAGTGTTCAGATAGAGCAAAGTTAACAGGACAAACGTAAATAAAAATAAATAAATCAGCAATATTTGGCAAGGATTTACTGACTATCTGCCAACTACTTGAAAGCTAAAATTTTAACAACGACTTGTAGGTTCCACTTCCTCACAAACTGAGAAAAACCTACAGTCAAAGGGAAACTACAAAGAGTTAGGGGCAGAGGAAGATGAGAAGACCCAAACAACTTTTGACTATTCAAAAGCCATTTTACATAAAAATTAGCGGAGAGGGCAATTCTTGATTATACATTCTCCTCTCCTCATTCCTGTAGCACTTGATGCTAACCCTTAACCCTGCCACATCAAAAACTTGAAACCACTTTTCCTCTTAACCAACCCCTGTAAGCACTCTTAGCACTCCTCCACTGCTCCTTTGTCACACTTGCTCCAATTTCAACAGAATCTAACGTATGGCAGCTCTGATAGCACTGCATTTTGGCTTTTCATTTTTCTCTTTCACTACAAAAATGCCAAGAAGGTGCCTGTTCCTTCAGGTGCACTCACAAAGCAGGAAGTCCTGCCCTTTTTCTTCCCCAAGCACAACCTTGGCTACCTTCGGGCTGCCTTAATTCAATACAATGTTGTGTTGCTTTTTAAAAACATTTCTTTTTCCTCTATTTGGTGGCTGAATAGATGCCTCATCTTGAATAAATTCTGCTTGCAAGGGAGCTGGAGGAGAGACTATAACCCACGTTACCCTGCTCCTATTTGCGCCATCGGTGTGATAGTGGTGGGGATGGAGGGGGAACCGCACAGAATTGCACCCGGGAAAAAAATTAATTGACAAACAAGAGACGAATGGTCTGGGCCAAACTGCCTGATTGCATCGGAGGAACTTTGCTGGGCGCCGTGCGCCGTTTCCTCATCTCTGCTTGTTATCCCTGTTCTTTGGGATGGGGTTGCTGAGGAGCTCAGAGCACTCGGCTCCTACCCAGGAAAAGGGACAGGATTTTGCAAAGCTGCTTTAGAGCACAAGTTGCATGGGGACCTCCCCAGAGAAGCACCATTGGGGCCCTGTGTGGCCGAGCACCGACGTCCTTGTGCACAGGATGGCAGCGGCTGCTCTGCCCTTCCGTGCGGGCTGGTGGCCTAGACTGGAAGTGTTTCTCCTCCCTGTTATGTGCCGGGCAGATAAAAGGTGGACTTGTGAAAATATTTTCACATTACCTTTATTCTTCTGCTCTTCCACTTCAGCAGTCCACTTGCTGTTTCTTCTCTCATTATTTGAGAACTTTTTCTGGTTGAAGTTATCAACAGTCTGCGTGGCAGCTTGACAAGCTGACTGACTCTAAAGTAAAGTTAACAAAAGTAGAAATTAGATTTTTTTTCTTTTTTAAAGAAGTCTGACCAAACTTTTCCATCTGATATGACATTATTATACCTTCATCTCATACGTGTATTTCTCTTGTTCCTCTGCAGAAGAAAAAACTTAGCATCATGCAGATTAATCCACTCTTACATGTTGCTTAATTTTTAGAGGTTTCCTTTAAAAGCATTCATATCGTTACTTTACAAAATAAAGTTTTTCTTCTTTTTAAAAAATTAAGACAACTTCCACTTTAAAACTGCAGCCTCCTTCTGGGGTCCATACATACAACACAACCACAACCTAGAGGGAGACTGAAGTCTAAGGACGGGAAGATGCATCCAAATAATTCTTTTTCACAAAGGCTCATCTTTTATCTACTCTTTTATCCCCAGAGTGGTTCTCTTTTCAGTTTGGCCAAGGACTTAAATCCAAAAAGCCCCACGCATTTTTAGAGGAAACCTATGTGGGCCACAAATGTTTTCCCCAGCAGATATGCTCTCTAGGCTTAGGGGGGGGAAAAAAAAAAAAAAAGGGAAAGAAACAACTTTCATCTGCTTATTTTAAAAACTAAACACAGCCATCAACAGCATAATCCAAGTTTGAACTTGGAGCATAAGCAAGTTTGAACCCTCAAAAATTCATTATCTATATCACTATGCAAATTCTCACATCTAATCTCTGTTGAAGAGTGCAGAGCTTTCCCAAGACATAAGCAACACACAAGAAAAAAAGCTCATGGCTTTGGAAGCTCTACTTCTACTACATTTTGATGCCTAAAAACTGTGCACAGTGGACACTAACTGTTTGCAAGAGACGCTACACAGTTTGTCTTGCATTCAGAGTATTGCAGATGCACAAATTTCAGCGTAGGAAGACATGCGAAGAGAATACCCTCTGACTTTGCAGTTGCACTATAATGCAAAAGCTGCAAATCCAAAGTTCTCAGGTAATGGTTCAAGGATACGCAAGAAAACAAAAAGCACTAGTAGTTGAAAAAGCATACATTAGAAAGGGCAGGAAAAGCTTGCTCATCCCTCTGCTGAATCTCATAAAGTGAACGAGATTCTTCTATAGCCCGTTTCTCCTTCCGTTCCTCTGGAGACAGGCCAAAATAGTTACAATCTCTGTTATTCTGGTTCAGATCTTCAGTTCTCTCACAATCTGGTTTTCTGTAAAGAACAACAGACCACATCACTTCATCAAGAAAATCCAATTACCACCTAGTATCGAATAAACTCAGGATTAAGAAAGAAAGAAAGAGTAATTATGTAGCATTGTTCCTGTGATTGTATATGCATTCATATTCTTTCCTCCTCATTACAAGTTGTGAGAACACAGAAGAGAATTAACCCACCACTTATTCAATTCGACACTATTTAGAAAGACTGTAAAGTTAACTACAGGTATTAGATCACAGTTAAAAAAAAAAAAAAAACAAATACCTACATCAAGTGATTTAATCCCCTTCTGCACCACACCATCTCCCTAATTTATCCATTGCCACATAAAATAAAGTTGAGAAAGAAGATTTCCATAAGTGCAAGAAAAAGTCATTCAATGTCAGAAGCATCACTATACAAAATTAACAAACTAGTCAATGTTTGATCTTTAAGAACTGCTTAACTGAACTATCTTTAGGATATTTATGCCTTCACAGGGGGTGAGAGGAAACATGACAAAAGTGTCAGCATCCTTAATTCTATTTGGAGTTACAGTGCAGAAAAGTGGTCAAACAGACCAGAAGTTTGTTTGCATTCAAGTACAGAACAGTTAACAGAAAGATGGTAGCAATAATCAGGGCAATAAATGTATTTCAAAACAGCATGTGGGAAGCATCTGAAATAGGCACTCAGGCTACAACAAGGTTGGCTAGAATCCTAGGTAAGGAAAATGTTATTTGGAGGCGTACCTTACAGTTTGGGAAGGATTCCTGCTTGAAGATTTTTGCTCAGTTGAGGTCTGATGAGACTGGGGTCCAGAACATAGGAACTGATGCTGCCTGGTTCCCACAGTATGCTGAAGTCGAGGAGGTAGTGCTGACTGGGGTTTCACCAGCTTGCTCTGATTCTTTAGCCCTCTGCAATCTACATCTGCAATACAGAGGTAAATAAATATATATATATATATATATAAAAATTATAGAGAGTTTTTTATCGTCTAGGACAAACTTTTGACAGTAAGGATTCCATCGCAGAAAGACAGGTAAAAATCATACCAGGCTGAGCATTCTGCCCCCATGTTGGGAAAAACTTTTTTATCTTCTTCCCTGGCACAGTGTTCCAGCCCTCCATAGGAGAGGTTTGCGGAAGAGGTTTAAGGCTCTTCAGTGAGACAGCATGCCTAAAAAACAGAGACAGGGAAGACGGGAGGGGAGCTTTAATACCAATTAACACCATATGTTTATTAAAGCAGATGGATCTTTATGATTATACTCAAGCAATGAATAAAGCAAAAAAAATTGTTTAAGTTATGGTCTGATAAAACTATGAAAATTTAACCAGCATTCAACAGGACATAGATACTGTATGATAATAAATACATACCAAAATGAAAATGTGATGGCTTTTTTTTGAGGCAGGAAGTAAAACTCATCAGTTATTACTTGTGAAGTGAATATTATAATGTCTTTGAGACAGAGAAGTGGACAGCGATCTTAGAAAAGTAATACACTTAACAGGCAATTTAACCACAAATACCGCAACAGATGCCAGGTTTGAAAAACATTATACTGATGTTTTAGAACACAGAACAAAAACGGCATTTTTACCTGAGAATACTATTAGGAAGTCCAAGTAGTTTACATTACTTGAAAGGATGGCATTCAGGTTTATAAGAGATGTTGCAAATAGAGTTCAACTTGAACTCGAAAAAGGCAACAATGTGCAAGGTAACTTTCTATTCTTACAAAATTTTCAGTTTTCTTACCAAAGGATCTCTTCTTCCTTAGCTACATTGTTAAATATCAAATTCAACTACCTTGTTTTCTTTAAAAAAAAAAAAAAAAAAAAAGAAAAACCACAAAATACCAACAAGAAAACCATGCTTACTTTTCTCCGAGCTCTTCTACAAATACAACAACTGGACCATTCTCTGAGCAAACTTCTTGAATATGGGCATTATAAAATTTCCCATTATGGTCTAAGCGCACCTTAAAAATATTAAGGACAAAAAGGATTAGGTTCAAAGAATCAACTGAGAGGATATAACTCTTTATTGGCAACACTAAAAATAAATGCTTTACTCTAGGCAACAGCAGACCAAAGAAACAAACACCAGCAATTCAGTAAATGCATCAAAAGCAAACTTTGCTAAAGTTTCAATTCTTGAGAGAGACAATGTGCTTTCCTAACAAAATAACTTAATGAAGTAGAAGCTTTCAGAACTACATGAAACAATTTAAAAGATATGTTTTAACAAAAATACCTTTCTCTTAGAAGTCACCCCCAAGTTTCATCATTAAAACCCCATTAGAGTTAAAAAAGTGTACACACACAGTGTATACACAGTGTATCTAACTCCTCTATTAAACTTTGGTGAACATGAGTTTCATTAAGAACATGAAGACCACCAATTTTTCAGAATTTACTCTTCAGCAACTTTTCAAAGAAAAGTTTTGCTTATATGGGATCAGTGTTACTTGTCTATAAAAACTAAACATTCAGAGATCTTACAGGACTGTTAAAGCTACCATCTGAAAGGGTCCTCATGCTGCATGACAATGCAAGTAATTCCCTTCAAGCAATGACATTAGAACAAAGCCACTTTACAAATAATCATCTGCAGATCTTAACATTAATGGAAACTATATTTCCTTTCGGTCCCTCTGAAAAGCTATGATTAAAAAACTCCCGAGTTAAGTGAACTACCTCAAATGCACCTACCTCCCATACAGGGATTAGCACTCTTCAGGATTCAGTAAGGACATATCGCACTGGCGAGCCCACATATACTTGTTTTCATACTTAAGCCTAAATCCTCTTATTTAAGATAATTTAACATAATCAGTCATCTTATTTAACATAACTCTTGCAGTTAAGCACCCAATTTTCTATACAGTAATGATCAGACTACATTCTCCAGCACCCCTTTTATGTGTAAGCTTCAAATCATGAACACAATAAGCGTACAAGCAGTTGAAGACACAGAAAAAAATATTTAGAAAGAAACCAAAATGATATATCAAAACTGTTAACCAAGGAGGGGGGGGGAAGTCATCTAGCACCTAAAATGCAGCATTACTTACTTTACATTTATCACCAACTGAGTATTGCATGCCAGCAGCAATAGAAAAATCTTGTTTTTGCTGATCTGTAAATACATCAACAGAAATATTAGAATTATTTTACATATACTAAAACAATTACGTTAGCAATTTAATAAAAGTGCAAACCCCAGTAGTTTACGTTCTAAATCTACACACTGACCACATGGGGAATACCCATGCCTAAAATACAAACTACCACTTATACCAAACACTTACAGAAGCATGCTTTAAAAAGGCTCCACTTCAGATACCAACTTGCAAAAGATGTTACTTTAAGTATTCATTTACTTACCCCACTTGGATTGCAGCCAAACATCATATTCAACATTTCTGTAAACTGATGGGTTGAGTGATTTAAGAACTTTCTTAGGCAACACCAAGAAGGTAGGGTTCCCATTGCTCTTAAGGTGCTGTATGAAACAGAAATGCTGGAGTGGTCAATTACATTGATTCATAAATGAAAAACTGTAAATATCTAAGTATTCAAGCTTTAAACTTAAATAAAAAGAAGCTGACAATATATACTAGCTTTGAAGAAATAATTCAGCACGATTCCTTTAAACACACCAGAACAAAATTTAGAACTGAGCAGCAATAAAAGGACACTTCTGATATCAAATACAAACATTACTTTTCAAAGAACTAAGTAGTTTAAGCACTGTATGATAGGAACTCAAAATTATCTCATCAACAATAAACACTTAAAAAGTATAGCAGAATTTAAGTTGTTTGGGAGAAAAATAAACCGTAACACAAATACCTTGTTGCCAGAAAGTGACTTCAATCCATTCATATCGCTAACCATTGTAGCTTTACTTCTGAAAAGTGACAGAAGATGCTAGGGTAGTATTGTATTACAAAGAATTTGAAACAGGGCAAGAAATATCTTGAAAGTGGATAAAAGTATCTAATCTATCTTTCTCTTTATATTTCACTACATGAAACACTCATCTCTTTATATGAAGCAGCTAAATTTTTAAACAACTACATTACTATAATACATAATTAAAAATCAATATTTTTCTAAATCAGTTGTATGATGTCTAATTTACATGTACCTAACTAGTCATCAGTTGGGGAGGGAGGGGAGGAAATAAACAAACAAACACAACACACACAGCACACCACACTTCTTCCAGAAAGATATAGATGACTTAAGCTTAAGACATGCAGAAACTGAAAACTTCAGGACTCCATATATGTAGAAAAATGTTTGTAATTTGGCTTAAGTTGGCTGAAAGCTCTTGCACCACAAAGACATTCCTTTTAAATCCAGGACATTAAAAGCGATATTCTCAAGTGAGTAAATGATCATCTTTGCAAGGGGGCCACAGAGGTTAGAAGGGCATTTTCTTAAGAATCACAATATCGATATCGAGTAATGCTACTGGTTAAGAACCACAGGGAAGTTCTAAGAACAGAAAGGAATGCAGGTTTCCACTCTGACATTTAACTACAATAATTGTTTCCATAGGCAGGAATATTTTAACTGGAAAGGTTCCCTAAATTTTTTTCTTTTCCAAACAAGAAAGGAAGTTAATCCCTTTCCTGAAACTTGGGTTTTCTTTCTGTAGCAATCTTCTAAAGGTTTTCAGCATAAGAGAGGAAAAAAAAAAACAACCACACAACAATCACACACACACACACCCTGACATCTCAAAAATATTTCTACCACATGCCACTCTGTACTACAGCAAAGACCCCAGAAAGAGCTTTAAAGTTTTTCAGTGGGAAAAGGGAATATGCTGCATTAACACAGCATAAGTTCCAGAGCTTCAACAGAATTTTACACAAGCCAGAGTTTTAAGAACAGCATTAGACAACAGAAGAAAAACTGCCAAGACATAAATGTAAGTTTGCTTCTATATTGCAAAACAACTCTTACTTTAGTAATCAGTACGCCAAAACTCAACTAGCTGGAGCACCCAGGCCCAGCAAAAGAACCACTACCCATGAAAATACTTAATTCTTTTTTGATCTTTGTGAAACAAGTGGAGCAAGCTCCAGATGTATTCCACCATTAGCTATACCCAAGTGCCCTCTCTCCGACAGAGATTTCGACCCCCAAGAGGTAGGAGCAACACAAGTTGGATTAGGCTCTGTAACTCCATAAAGCTACATGAGCAAGCTAAGTAGTTCTCATGAAGTTACCATGCTCAGCCTGCGGTGTGCTTGTTCTCCCAGGGGATCACACTAGGTTGAACACAAGTGTTTCAACCTGTTAAGATTCCTCTACCCACTATGAATTTAAAGGACATCTTTCATGTGCATTGTTCAAAGGCAGTTTAACTTTTAAATCCCAGTTACCTGCAGTTGTCATCTTCTGAATCTGATGCAGATACTTCACTGCTACCATTACTTTCCTCTGTCACATCAACAGCACTAAGCTCTGCAACGATTTGCTTTACATCTGTATCAAAAACCTTTTCATACAGCAGCTCATATAGAAGAGCTGCAGAAGGAGAGAAGGACAAAAGCAATTGTAAAGTGAGATGTTACACCACCATTATAGAAACATTTCAAATTAATTCAACTTGGAAAAGCAAGTTGAAGTGTAAGTTGAAACAGTGAAGGCATTCTACAAATGGGTTGCAATGAGAACACTGATCAGAAATAATACAACAGATTAACATAAACAAAAATGTGATGAGCTACATTTATGAAGCACTCAGAAGCAAGTAAGTCTTTTCCTTTATATATATATATATATATATATCCCCACATCATGCTTCAAAAACACAACATGGTAATAATTAAAGACTCGTAAGATGATACAATCATCAACAATTAATTTGGAAAATAGGGCTACTCTAAGATAGTAGTACAACTGCACATACAGTCTTTTCTCTCCCTCCAACTGACACCCAACAGGAATCAAGATTTTTGGTGAAAATAGACACTTTTAATCAACCAACACAATACTTACACTGGCAGAGAGCAGCTCTTTCTGAATACTCTATTGGGTAAACAATATCATAGTGGTTTCCATTTGAGAAACATAGCAACACCTTTAAATAAATAAATAAGGTTTATGTCACTCAACTTTAGCAGAAACAGTACTTTTTAAATGCCATTTACTGAGCCAGCATGCTTTGTTGAATTTCAATATCTAAAAGTCTCAATAAAGCACTAAAAAAAAACTTAGTGGGCACTCTTTATATTAAATTATTTTGACCATATTTAAAGGTAACTGTGCAAGCCAGTTATCACCAGTAATTTAAAAAGTTTACATTACTATGAAGGCATACTACATCTCAAATATGGAACATGTATTTAAAAAACAGCCATATATATCAGTACAATAGTTATAGTATATACAGAATAAACTATGTAAATTGAATTCTCAGAGCATTTCATTGTATTGAATAGTAAGTTTTACATTATTTGCTGTTAATTACAATAGTCTTAATCTTTCAACATAGTCTTAAAAATTTTACCTTATCAGAAAAGCCATTTTCAGTTACATGTGAGGGAGAAGCATCTGGTTCCTGATAGATTATGAAATCTTTCCTATGAAAGAAAGTACTAATTAGAATACACTTACTGTGAAAGAATACTGAAGAATATTACTGCAACTGACTCTGGTCAGAAAAAAAGGTTTACTTTTGTGATGTGTTTTGTGTTCTCAACGAAGACTTATAGTTAAAAATATATATATCTACATTTGTCCACAGGAGTTTTGTGGCAGGCTGCCCGTTTTTTGCATGTGAGGCTTCTGAGCAATACTGTGTCTGCGGTGCACCTTGGCCTTTCCTCACACAAAGGGAGGCTCATGGTCTACCACAGCAGTTCTCAGCTTACAACATCACAGAAGAGACTTACTATGGATACAGCTAATAAGGATTAAAATACAGCATTTGTTTTTTGTTCAAGTTATTTATACTCTTCTCTCTCCATCCAAGCAATAATACTGCTTGCAGAGTTACCATTCATATTTTTATCCCCATGTTTAGTAACTTTTTTTTTTTAAATCAACTTGATTTATTTTTCCTTTTCAGTGGAGAAGCTCCAAAAGCACTCATGCAACAATAGTCATTATTAATCACGACTCAACAACACTTTCAAATACACAATTTTTGATATAATTCACTTCTGATTATTATGCCAACTTTTTAAAAGGATTCTAAGTAGTTTTCTTATAAAATTTACATCTTATTCTATTTGTCTTGATTGTTGGATTCGCATACACTGTCCCTAAAAAAACTTTCTATAACCATTCCCAGCAAAGAAAGAAGATAAAATGTAATTTGTGCAAAGCAATAAAACGCCCTAGAGAAGAGTAGAGTCAGTAAGGTTGAGTAGAGAGCTCAACTTTTTACTGTAACTGAACACATTGGCCTACTCCACTAAAATGTACTAACACAGCACACACTGAGCTGGTGACAAGTAAAACACACCAATGAAATGGAGGCAAACAGAGCAACGCCCATAAAGTCAATGGCTCTGTAAACCTGGAGAAATTCACAGTATTTTGCCCCTTGGAAAACCACTAGAAAGAAGAGGTTTGTTTTGTCAAGAGAGCCAGGAAATGCTGGCACTTTCCTGGCAGGTGAGCAACTTACCTAGGCTACACCCGCACTAGCAAATGAAAGTGCCCAAATTAAGCATTCTGGGCACTGAGGGAACGGTCGCTTCCATGCTAGTCAATTCTTCTCACCTCCCAGAGAGGGTTCCCACAACTGTAACAGTCCACGCAACATCTGTGCTGCTGACCTGCACCCAGAATTGCTGGGGGCAACAGTTGGCACCCAGCTGCCAAAACACACCAAGGAACATGCTGGCAGCCCAAGAGACTGCTCCTGACGGCCTGAGGAACCCCTGCACCTCAAAAAATCATGTCTGCCAGGGCTCTCACATTTACATGGTGAAAAGAACAGGTCTTGCTTTTTAAAATGGAGAATACAGTGTAAAGAAAAAAAAAAGAAAAAAAAAAAGAAAAAAAAAAAAACCAAAAACATCCAGACAGCTCAGTTTCCATTCCTCTACAGATGAAACTTGGTGGGAAATGGGAAGAGAAAAACAACTGTAGCAAGAAAAATTACAATATGAAAACTAGCAAAACTACAAAACATATGATTCTACCTTTACAAATTTGTAGGCGAGACATGTGACATTATTGAAAGTTATTCAGATCCAAGATTAGATGTCACTTTCAAAAGTCCACTTTATTTTTATCCAATACTTTGACAGCTGTGTGTATACATACTCCCCCTAATTTTATATATATATATATATTTATATTTAAATGTGTATATATTATTTTACCATATATTAATGTGCATATATTAAGTGTATAACTTTCTGGAGAACAGAGTTATAATTTGTCATATCTTTTGTCTTCCAAATGGTTAATTAACAAAAAGAACTGAATTGGTTGAAACAAACTAATTCATCATAACAGAACTCAGTTAAAAAAACAAAAGTTTATTCTTACTTGTACATAAGAGAAAGGGCACTTATTTCTACTTGTCCAACCCATTCCTGTATTTAAAAAAAAAAAAAAAAGGTTAAATCAAATACACAAGTATTTTACTTCTTTTATCTGTAGATACATAGAAACAAGGAATTAATATCAAAAATTAACATAATAACACTAAGCTTGGATTTCTGCCAAAATAATAAGATTGGATTAAAAGGCACTTTGAAATAACAATAATTGTTCCACTAAGAGCAAAAAAAGTGAGCTAAAAACAGCTATAGAAATGCAGAGCCATGATTAAGTATGACTTTGAAAAATGCCATAATCTTTCTCTTGCTAGATAAACAGAAGGCTAATGTACCAAAAGTGATTTTTGAGAAGCGTTACATTTATTGAGTGCTTTTTAAAATGTTAATCTCTTCCTTCAAAGCGTCTCGTTTTGAGGTCTTTTAACAACTGGAACAAGAACCTTGTGGCTTAAAAATCTTCTGCCTAAAACACAGACAACTAGCACTAGCACACAAGTATCTTGGCACAGACACATGGAGCACTACAAAACAAATTGGACAAACCACTTCCAAACAGCCCAAAATGATCCTGTGGTAGATAAAGTTACATTTTTGATGCAAGAAATTCACTGTAGAGTAAGTTCTACTGGAAAATAGCATGCCTTGCCACCTGGCACAGCATATAATCACAGGATCTGAATACCAGAACTTACAACTAAACATCTTGGAACAAACAAAACATGATAGAAATAGAATAGGCTAAAGACAAATTTTCCCCCTTTTACCACTCACTTTAGAAGCTGACTTCATCTGGTTGGCTATTCTAATTAAAGACTTTGTTGACCTAGAAAAAAGCCATGCTTCAATTTCTAGAATAGAAAAGTATATGCACAAACCCTATCTTAAAAAAAAATATATAGATTTTGTAATGCTGTACAAGTGTTGTTTTACAGCTTATGATTTGTTAACCCTGCACTAAGTGCAACAACAGTCCATGGCTATTGTTTCTAAAATTCCATACATCAGTAACTTTTTATTCTTCACATAGTGCTTCCTTCAAGGACAGCTTAAAAAAATGCTAGTCAGTGGGGTTTTCTTTTGTCTGGGGTGGTTTTTGTTGTTTGGTTGTTTTAGGGTTTGTTTTTGTTTTTTTCCCCTCTTTTCCTCCCTTCTCCCCAGAGGCTGGAAACATTTCAATACTCATTTCAGAGAAAGATAAATGTTTAAATCGAGATATGGAAAGCAACATATCTTCTTACAATAGGGAACATACACATAACACAAAGACCTCAAACTCAGTCAATAACTTTTTCAAGTAAAAAAACTACCTATCAATAAAAGTACTGCTTTCTATTAATAATCAAGTTTAACATACCTGTGGGTTTTCCAAACATTTTAAGTACTCTTCAAAGGGCCCCTCTATGAACTGTATTTTAAAAAAAGTACAAATTAATTATATTTTTTATTTTCAGAGCATGCAGTCATATAGACTATGACCTGCTGTACTAATGATAAACTACCAACAGAAACTCAAGACAACTGTCCTCAAAGAGCTCACAATCTAAATACAAAGCAATGCAGATCAAGGGAAGAAATGGTCAAAAAGGTCAGTCTGAGTTCCAGAAAGCAAGAATATCAACAGCTTGTTATCAACTATAACAGAGTTTTTTTTTCAGGCAAATTTATTGTAAAAGTAGTTAATTATCACAATAGGAACACTTTGTTATTTTTAATAAGTACATCATACTAAAGTAAAATCAATTCAGATTTTGATAGTATCACTTCAGGCTAAAAGAGCTGAAAAGCTTTGTACATTTGTTTGTTTTTTGCTTTTCTTTTTTCAAAGGAACATTAGTTCTCCTACTATTCCCAGTATCCTCCTAGTCCCAGTAATAGAGATCTCTTTCTAAGATTTGAAAATAAGTTACTACCATACAAGTCAGTTGACTCAAGAAGCATGGACTTTAAATCAACTAGCACACAGCTACAACAAACTCTACATATTACAAAGGTGGAAGGAATAAAATAAGATTTTTAAATAGTTAAGAGGAGGAAGAATTAAAAAAAAAAAAAGTACATATATACTTACTGCTTCAAATTTCTCCCTATTTTTCCGAAGATAGTCTACACAAGCCATCCGAACATCGATATGCCGAGACTGACAGTATAACACCTGTAAAAGGAAAAATGAAAGAAAGTAACACTATTCCTTATGATTTTTGAGGAAAAATCATAAATAATCAACTTCTGGATGGTAAATACTGCTTTGAAATAAATATTCTTAGAAGTAAGACCAGGCTAAGACATTTGCTCAAAAAATGAAGTATTTATGCAAGTAAAATCTCAATTATTCAGCCAAAGATTAATTAACAGCAGAATTCTCAAATATACTAAATTCAAAATTCAACTCTAGGACTATTTACTGAGAGAAAGAATTAGAGCAATATTTGTTGTCCTTCTCTGATCCCTCTGAAAATAATTTTAGTTGATGAAGTAAGATTTCGTTACTGCGGGAAGGGATGAATAAATCTATTACTGTTTGTCAAAACCAAAAACTAGCCAAATCTAAGGATAAAGTGTCACATTCCCTTGATTTAAGAGGTGTAGCTCTGTTGTCCAAACATTTATTTGGAAGGCAGGACTTCAGAATCCAATACAACACCTGCATTCTACTCTCTGTTCAAGACAGTAAGAACCAAGTATTAGAAACTTAAGGGCTGGAAAAAAAAGTCTCAGTGGACTGAGGAGGAAGTTTGTTCATCAAGAGATCAATGTATTCATTATTCCCTTAACATAAAAGTTACTTTCAGAACAATAATGCTTGCTTGCCTAAATCTTTAAAAACTTAGTAGAGAAAGTAGTAAGACAAAACAAAAAAGGCAAAAGAAAACCCACACTTGTATACTAGTGCAGGTATTTTAACTCTCAAAACATAAGCACCAGAACTCTCACTGCTGTTGGTTTCTATTTAAAACACTATCACTTTTTTCTTTACGTTACACTGAAGCAAGGAAGGTAGCAGGAATAATAATATTGTTCTTTTTCTCCAAATTTACAACAAACCACCTAACTAAGAAAAAAGCCCTTAAGCTCCTTCTGCCAAATTCACTTTCCTGCACAATTTTATACAAAGCTATTTTCCCCAAATGCTGAAATCTCACATGAAAAACATAAGATGTCAAAATTAAAAAGCTTATTTTCTTAATGGTACATGAATGTTGTACACATGCAACGTCTCTCTCCTGGAGAAAGGGACACCTTCTCCCTTTTATTGGCAGACAACTGTCACATTGACCTGTACTTGTCTGCATTTTAACATTAATTACCATCCACTAATGAGATTCTCTACTTCCCATGCTTTTGTGTAAAGCAGCTTTATTCAAAAAAGTTACCTGCTCAGCCACAGCTCTGAAGAGACAAGATCCATCCTTGGCAACTCTTTTTCTGTATAAGCCCTGAGATCGCAAGTAGCGGTCCATAGAAGCGTCTCCAAGAGTGTCTGCGCCGCTGCCTTGCTGACTCTGTTCCCCACCATCTGCTTTACCCGCCGCCTCCATGTTACCTGATGAACGTTACCCCTCTCCTAACCCCACATTGTAACGCAAACCCACCAGGCAGCTCTAGGGCCGGGCAAAGGGAACTGTAGCAGGTGGGGACAGAGAGCACTGGCTTCTCTTTCTGCACTAGAGGCAGTAGCAACAGGAAAAGCAGCTGGTTTCACGTTATCAACTTGCATGTGGGAATCGCGGAGAAAAGAGCTTTCACTGCAGAGTCGGGACTTCTAGCCACACACAGTGTCGCTTGCAGGCTTCTCTAGAGGGCCTAGCAGTAGCTCCTGGAAGCTGCTCCAGCAGCGTCCCGATCCGACCTCTTCCTCCAGACAGCGATTTCCCGGCGTTTACGTAGATGTTGCACGCGCTGGGGCTGCAGGCGGGAAAACAAAAGAGAAACGACATGTGCTACGGAGAGAAGGAAAAAGAAAACATCGCGACTTGCAGTTTATTTTCACTTTCAGTCGGGAGCCCGGGTGCTTCTGGGAGGTGTAGTCCCACACAGCAGGAAGCAGGAGCTACCCCCACCAAAGCCCCGTTTGTCCTGCACAGACATGCTTTTTATTATAGTAAGTGACCTACACCGTGTGTAGCATTTCAGGGACAGGCCTTAAACACTGGGGAAAAGAAACATTTTGATGCACAAATTTTGACGAAATAGCTTTCTAAGTGTGCAAGGCTTTTTTTTTTTTTTAAAAAAAAAAAAAAAAAAAAAAAAAAAGAAAGAAATCTGTAGATTTGTGCCTTACCCAAGGGGAAAGCTAGAAACTTTGATAGCATGAGTGGCAAGTAAAGTGTTACCTGTTACTCTTTAGGTTAAATTAACGAATTTTGAGATCAGAAAGAGCAGGGAAGTGGGAAGGAATGACCTTTCTAGTCACTGAACTTAAGGCAGACACTATGAGAAACCCCAAGACTCCTTATCCCTTTGTTCCCCTTCCTTTTGCTACCACCCTTAAAATTCTTCTTTTTGACAGTTACACAAACACTCTGATTTTCACTTTCACATAACAGAAATAAGGCCCAGGAAGTCAATGACTGAAGCTGTGATGTGACCTGTATGTAACACTAACAGACTGGATATGCAGAAATTACAAGCCAGACTGAATATGTCAGTAGTTCTGTACAAGCCCTATCACACTTCACTTTCCTAAGAGGCCCAGGTTTGCCAGCAAGGAGCTGGTCTACAGAAAACAGAAGGAATCTCCCAAGGGTCTCTATAGCACAGAAGCAAAAGAAAAGCCCTAATGACACCTGAGGCTCTAAGACACAGGGAACTGCTTAAGTAGTGAGGTGATATAAGCCTTTAAGACAGGGAATGTGAGGTATGAACACTAGGGTAAGACTGGAGGGAAAGCACAAACTTTTCACAAGGTGAAAAAAGTCCAGTCCAAAGCTGAACAGCAAACAACTGCTGGCACTGCCTAAGATGCCATATTTGTTTAAGAAATTAAATATAACAGATTCTTGCATATGACAGTTGCTTCTTCCACAAATTAGGCAATACTAAATGCTTTTGTGACCTACAGTGCAAACTAGTGTCCAGCTGCAGAATTTCTTTCGAATATCCCATTCTTCCCCATTCTATTGATCACCTTCAGTGCCAGTAGCACTCTACCACATGCACAAATCTTGTATTTGAGCCTTTTGTCACTATGATTCAGAGCCCAGTGAGACAAAAGGCAAATACCTCATATCTATTGGACATCTCATGATATTTGATGGACTCGAGAACACCTTTACATATGAGGTCATTCAAAAAGCAAGATCGTTTAATATGTGACATAATGCAAATGTAGTTCTGTTAAGTGAATGAACAGATAACATTAGAGTCACATAGTTGTCAGTTCCCCAAAAGCATGCTCTTTTTGTCTAACTCCTAAAGTCAATGAGGCAGTGACCACACATATTTTTGCTGATGTGCAGCTACAAAAGACAACATACATTTCTAAAAAGGTTAAGTTCCCACTGAAAAAAAAAATGCCAGCACACACACAATTAAAAAGGGTTTTGGATAAACGTCAATCAAAGGGCACCTGAAATCCTTCAGCCTTAAGAAGACGGCCACGTCAAAGATGACCAAATTCTAACTCAAAGAGCTAATCAGCAACTAGTTACTACAAATACCTTCAGTCTGTGCTGTCACTAAAAGCAGCATTTCCAGATCCTGGAAGTTCTTGTGCACCAACCACTAGTCACACAGTCAGCTCAAGAAAGTGATTCAAGCAAAGCAAAAAAAAAAAAAAAAAAAGAATAGTCAAGCTCAGCTTTATGATTCAAGTCACTACCCGGCTGTGCTATCTGCAGGGTAACGGGGTGCACTACCATCTCCTACTACCTCACCAAACCACAACCTTGAGAGAGGAGAGCCACTCTTGACTAGCTCCACGTGCACCCTTCCCTGCTCCATACAACGCCAACTTAACCAAATAAATACATAAAATAACATCCTTCTGGCTGGGAAATCTCACCGGGGCAAGACACCTCCAGTGCTAAGGGGCGCGAACGGCCCCAGGGCCTGCAGCCGCCACCCGCCTCCGAACC